AAATGAAGAGCATCAGTTCCTACAGCCTGCTGGTCACAACTCTACTCCCAGCTCAGCCGCTTCTGATGAGTCACTGACTTCTGCGCCAGCCTGACCTCCCCTAATTGGGGGCAGATTAGCCGAAAGGCATTTTTAACCACTCCATCAGGCCGTGGAGAGCAAGCGGCCACAGCTGGGTGCGATGACGAATTTCCAGCGCTGCAGGACACAGGCCGGCCTGGGCCACGAGCAGAGCTGTGAACAGCGATGCCACCCTCGCCAGTGCCAGCCCAGCCAGGCTGGTGGCAGAGACAGGGACCCTGGCAGCCCGATGCGGTGCTCCCTGGCAGAGGAGACACAAGTGCCGAGCCCTGCGTTTGCGCTGACAGGTAGTCTGGGTTGCACTTGACTGGGGACAGGCAGCCAAAGGCAACCATGTGCAGCAGAGTCAAATACCATTTTTAGGAGTGGGAGCTGCATGTGTATTTCAACGGTGATTAAAATAGCTGCGGACCGAGGCACCCTGATGATTAATGGACATTTTCTGTGCACCGAGGACGCGCCGTGTCCTGCAGACTCCGCTTCCTAAGAGAGGCCCATGGAGTACAGTTTGGCCAAGAGATCCTGAAGACCGGAGCACAAATTGTTGGGTCAGCTTTTCCTCTCCTTTATGTTGCATGTCAGCTATGCCATGAGGCTTGAATTATGAGCCCCTATTTCTGAAGCGTGCAGTGCATATTAGGAGCCATAAACCAACGTGCGCCAGCGCTGACGGCTGCCGCGCAGGCAGGGGCCGAGACAGCGGCGCTCGCTCCTGCTCCCCACCAAGCCCAGCTCCGTGGAGGCCACAAAACCAGCTATTTTGGAGCTTCTCCGTCCTCTTGAGGCCCTGCTCCAGCACCGGCCCCTTTGGGACACCTATTCCAGCATCGGCAGCAACAGGACAAGGCACAACAGGACAGTCCTGTTCTGGAGCAAAGAGAAACCTGAGCAGGCCACAAGTGGGGAACTTTGGGGAATGCCTTTTTATGCCTTTTTTTTTTTTTTTTTTTTTTTTTCCCCCCTCCCCAGCGGCGCAGTAGGGTGAAAACTATCAGCCATAAAAATATTACAGTGGATGCTGTTAAACAAATCATCATTTGTCAACAGGTAGCTGAATTATATCCAATTCAGCTGACAGAGCCAAAACTGTTTTTTTTTTTCCCCCCTACTAGTCATGTATAGTAAGAGCTGGCAAGAAACTGGCAGCCCCGGCTGTGCCGGGCTGATCAATGCGGCGGCGAGGCCGGATCGCGGGAGCGCTGCAGCCCGTGCAGGAATGTGTTGTACAAACGCCTGTTAACAGCCTCCGCACAGGCGGCAGAACTGCCTGCTGGAAAAGTACTAGAAAAAAAAAATGTTATTTAAATAAGACACAGATTTGCTAGGACTATCAAAAGAACATGTCAGGTTTCAGGCCTAAGAACATGAAATCACCCCCGAGCAGCAAATGCTAGCGTGCCCTGCTTGTTGAAATGGAGAAGCCCGAAATGTCCCAACCAGCACTAAGATACGGCAAGGCAAGCCAGAGCGAGAAACATTTTTTGTATTTGTTTCACAGCTCCCAAATTCTGCTGGAGGATTTTCCACTCTTCCAGATGTCTGCCGAGGGAGCAAGCCATCCTCTGCTTGTGAATGCGGCGCTGCCTCCGAGCTGCTCCAAGCCCACGGGGCCATCCAGGATGGAAGGCAGGGTGACAAGTGGAAATGTCCCGTCAAGGGGCTCCTGCTTTGGGATGGAGTGAAAGGTGTTGCTGTCCTGTGTCCTGCGCTTCCCGCGGCTCTGGTTTGGCCTCTGCTTTGCAGGCATTTTATTTTTATCATGGGTAAGAGAAGGAATGTGTGTGTGTGTGTGTCTGTGAGAGACTGAGCATGGGGCTGCAGCCTCAGCTCAGTGCAAATAACAATTTGGCCGGAAACCTGGAGTAGATTAAGTTGCTGGGGGGGAGGGGGGTTTGGGGGGTGGTAAATGCTGAATATTAAAACATTTCAATCTTTGAATTCTTTAAAGAAGCAGCTCTGAAACAAGGGAGCAGCCTGACAAAATTAGCAGGTCCAAAGTGCTAAAGGCATCAGCTACGGGTGACTTGTTTATTGACTGAGATTTAAAAGGACTTTTTATTATTTTTATTAGTGGCCGTGTATGTCAACATGCTATTTTCTCAATGCACTTTGAGGCCAGATTAGCTAAAGTTTTAGGTGTTGGCAGACTTGCTACAATAGAAGGGAAATGCCAATGGAATAACTTTAAACATGATCCAATCCCCGATGATTCATTGGATGTGTTAAAATTTCCTTTGAGACCATGTAAGTAATGCAGGGACTGGAGTGCAGCATGCCTGTGACTCAGCTCTCTGCGAGGCACCCGGAGGATGTCAGAATTACTCACTGGACAGGAGGAATCTCATTTATCTATTTATAGGCAAGGCCGAGATGAGCTCGTACCATTGAAGAGCTGAGTTTGCCAGTTCCCATAAAGGGAGAGGGAGGAAGAAGAGAAGACCTTGTTTCAGCTGCTGAAATAAAAGCTTTGGTATCAGCCTCTCAGTTTCATTTCCATTTTCAAACCCAATGGTCTGGCCATGTTGTCTCGCCCAGTGGACTCAGGCTTGGCATGTGAAAGCTGGTGAAGACCAAGGCTCCAACCCACAGCAATATGTTCTGGGGGGGCTATGTCTATAGCAGCCTGTGTTTGCAGCCTGCACTGGCTCCAGCTCTGCTCCATCGCTGGGCAAGCCTCGGTGGGGATATGCAGGGCTATTCCTTGCAATTCCCAGCTCCCTACCCACGAGCCAGGAAGCCAGGAGTCTCCGTGGCAGAGCCAGTCCCCCACTATTTCAGTCAATTACATCATATCTCCCTTTCTGGCAGGCAGCTCCAGCACTTCATTTTACATTTCCAGCCTTAATGGCAGTTGTTCTTGTGCCAGCATCGTAATTTAAATGCTTCTCTTTTTCCTCTGATCTTCACCTATCAGATGTATTTACTGAAAACAATCCTATCTCCTCTTGCCTTTGTTTTGAGGAACCAAACAAATGAAGCTCTTCTAGTCTGTTCTTGTTCTGCACCCTCTGCTCGCCCTCTGTGCCCTGCTCCCTACCTGTCCATCTGCCTCCGACACAGGGAACCTGTTGCTCCTGGACCTGCCTTTGCCCTCCTGTATCACAGTGGAGGCTCCCAGTTATCCCTAGGAGTGAGCAAGTCCCTGAGGATCATTTTTTCTCCCCCATAGCCCTCCTGAGAAATGGGATATGCTGGTTATTAATTTCCAAGTGCCTGTCTTTAGACTCTGTATCTTCTGTTTCAGGCTAATCCTGACGTTAGTTTATTGCTGATTGACACTCTGGCCCTGCCATGTACTAACAGTGTCCTCAGCCCATTGCTTTCCGACATTCCTCCCAAGTTATCAGTGAAACACGTACACCTGATCTCCAGCCCGACCCTGGAGGAGCTGCACTTACTGCCTGGAGTTTCCCAGTTCCGCAGGGCTCCGTGTCCTCTCCCCGTTAGCAGCTCCAGCTGCACTAATCCCCCTCTTCTTAACTTCAACTGGTGATTTCCCATGTGGTCCAATATCAGATTCTTTGCTCGAGGCTGGCTGGAGTAAATCACCAGAAAAAAAAAAAAAAATCAGTCATCAAAGAAAAATATCAGGTTAAGCTGAACCTCCTTAATGTGCCAGTTCTTTCCAAAGCTGGAGATGGAAACCTGCCAGTGCACCTTGATCTGAGTGCGTTGGCTTCTCTGAGCCTTTCCTGCCGTATTCTATGCAATAATTTCCCTTCCCTTATGTATGTTCTCACTAAACATCCTGCCTCTGCTCTACTGAAAATGTAGGTAGTGTATTTTTAACTCGGTTTTAAGCCCTGTGCAGACTATTGTCACTCTCCACCCCTGTGCTTCACACTATATATTGACCAACCACATTTCTCCTCCTCTTTTTTTTTTATGTTTATCTAGCTGAAACCTTCTGCCATTGGTTTTAATTTCCTTTTCAAAGTCTAAAGCAATTTGACTTTTGACATTTCTCCTTCTACCTCTACATTTGCTGAGCTGGGCAAATGGAAGCAGGATGGCTGAAGCAAACCTGCCGCTCGCCTCGCTCTCCAGCACTTCTCTGGTGCTGCCTTTGTGGTCCAGACGACAGGACAACTCCAAAAGCAGGTCCAGAATCACTGGGCTGGTCCAGAATCACACCGAACCGTCCACTGTGTGGGACTTGCTCGGTGAACCCCTTGGTTTGCCCTGGGCAGTAGTTGGGGGTCTCCATCAAAGAGCAAAGCAGATGATTGCTCCTCACCATGGTTCCCCTCTAGAGAGCTGGTTTCCACTTGGGTTGTATGAAAATTCCCACTCCTGAAGCACCTCTTGCTGGTCAGCCCTGTCCTGGTGAACTCCCCACATGTGTTTGGAGCTGGGTCTCTCCCTCTCCTAGCTTTGGAGTCGTTCCTGGCAAGGTTCATCCTCCTGTTTGTTTCACCTAGTTTGGGAACCCTGGTTTCCATCCCATTCAGCTCCTCAGCACAGCTCATTCCACTAATTAGTTCTCTTGATTTCTCAATATTTGCCCTTTTGGAGATGAGGACGCCTTGGTGTGTGATTACAGATAGTGCTGGAGATTCAGTCCTAATGAGGCACATTTAAAAGTTACTGCTTCTAAACCAGAGTCTTCAGAGGCTCTGGCTGACTCACAGCTCACTGCTCTAGGGACGATCTCCCATCGCCTTCTGTGTGTGACTCCCATCATCAAAAGACAGCATTAAGGGAATGAGATAATACAAGCATCTTTGTTCCACAGACAGCTGAGACACCCAGAGCCTAAAGGGTTTAAACGCTACTCCACTGCATGAAGACTTAATGAAGTAGTGAGGGAGAACTCCAGCATGCTCAACCACACTGAATTCACTGCAGCGGTCCATGGAGGCCACCTGCAAACAGAGCATCTGAATTGGGTTTTTACCTTGAATTCCAGCTCCTGAAGAGAGAAAAGTGCATCCACGAGCTTTGCACAAGGCAGGCAGAGGAGGCCGAGCTGCAACTGGTATTGGAAAGCTCTAGAAGAGAGGATGCTGCCCTCAAGAAACTTCTGGAAACTGTCACTCAAACATCTCGATCCTGGGGAAGCTATTGCTCCCCCAGCGTCAATGGGAGCATGTTCAGAACCACCTGGAAGAGACGAAATGGAAGAGCAAATTTCTCCCCTCTCTACTCTCTCTCTAAGAGGTTTTGGATGGCAGGACACGGTGCCCCTCTCGCAGGCCATGCCAGCCCCACGTGCCCCTGCTCCGCTGGGCACCTACTGACCTTGGCACTGGCACAGGGCTCATGTGTTTTTCTAGAAGAGTAACCTCCTTGTGAGCAGGCTCATTGCTTTGGGAGACACAAAGCAGTCTTGTCTTCCAAGTGTCCGAGGCTTCCTTTCACGTCTGTTTATTCCTTCACTAGCATTTATTTTTGGCATTGAAAGAAAAACACAACTCCACATTAAAGGAACAGCATCCAGTTAAAGCCCACAGGGACCAACCAACAGGGTCGAGTGCTAGAAGAGTCTGTCGCCTGTTGGCCACAAAACTGCTTTCTAACGAAAAAGGGAGCAGAGCAGCCTCAGAAGCACGTAGCACCAGTCAAACGTGCCACAGGCTGGATGGCCGAGGCTTGTTTTGCCTCTGTACTAAGTAACAAAAGTCCAGGGGGCACATTTTTATCTGAATAAAGACTTCTATAGAGTCTTGCCAGCTGTAATTACCAAGGGAGCTCTGGGAAGCTAGACACGACCTGGTATTGAGTTTGCAACTCCTTGGCAATCTCAGCCACATGGTGTACCCGGATCAGGAAGAGAACACTTCACCCCTCACCTGCTCTGGCTCCACGGCCATCATCTAAGAGCAACCCCAGCCCCATCCGCCGTCACCGAAAGCAGCAGGACTGGCCACAGGCCTGACTCCTACATCCACTCTTTGCCTTTGAAACTCTGCTGACTTGCACAAAATCAGAGCTGTCGGCCCTGGATATTGGTGAGGGCAGGACTCGGCGCCAGGAATGGGTGTAGCAACCCTTGGACACGATGGAAATAGGAAGCTCTGGACAGGCGGTGCGTGGCGTGCGCGCTTAGTGAGTCCACACTGTGTTAATGGTGCCTTGCTCCTAATGGAGTAAGTGCTTCTGGATGCTCGGCTGCCTTTGGCAAGGGGCACTTTGAGAAGGATAAAACCGCATTTGCATTGCTGAGAGCCTCCCTGTGGTAATGAGATGCTCCCCACGGGACACTGGAAACATCCTGGTATTGTCTTTGGAGAAGATCTGGGGCGAGGGTCTTACCTTGCTAAATGGTATTAACAAAACGCTTACCTGTGAATAGCAACTTAGTCCAGACCCAGGCTTTAGAAACACAGAGACAGCTACAGGTCCTCCGATTAGTCCGTGAATCTAGGAAGAAAAAGAATAGGCAATTTTGTATTTTTTACTTTGCATATAAAACATCATTAATAGCAATTAGGAAACCAGATGCATTGTATCAGTAACTGACAAATTAAGAATTCGGTGATGGTTGGTCAGGAGCTCACAGCCTCCTTGCAATACCAATAATGATTATTTATAGCCTACTGTGCAAGGAAATTAGTCCAGAAAAACTGAACAGTTATAATGTAATATGGTCACCCAAGGGAGAAGTCTGGTGCAAGGTGCAGGCAGCCAAGATATCACACCATTTTCTTGTCTTGATTTAGAAACCTTTTTTCTGTAAATAGTGCTTGTATATTCTGTACAAAATGTCCTAGCTCCTCTATAACACATACTCATTTTATTCCCATTGAATTTCATTGAAGTTACCCTTGATTTATACTTCAGAGTGGAGGCAGACACATACTGCTGCTTTATATACAAACTCCTTAGCTGTCTATCCACAGGGCTGGACAGCTTTGCAAGAGAAGGAGCTGAGAGGCGAGCAATTAGCTTCAAGGCCATTACCAGGGCATCTGGACACGCTATTTGCAGTACGGACACAAGGAATGAAAGTCCCTGCCCTTGAAAATGGCTCACAAGGAAACCATGCAGAAGGTGGCAGGTAAAGGAGCTGCAGAGGAGAGCAGCACGTGCCCAGCATCAGGTGGTGACAGAGCGAGGCAGGATCAGGGCACCTGGCCGAGACCTGCCTCGTCCTTTCTATTCCTGCACACGGGTGCAATTTAGCTTTTCTTCTCTTATTTTTCAAGAAAATGCTCTCCGAGTTGTGCAAACAGATTCTTTCCTGTGATTATACCTGTCTCCTGTGCTAAAGACGTCAGTCTTTGCACACATTGGATCCTAATAAAGAAAAGCTCTCCTCTCTAAAAAGAACAACTTTTCTGATTTTTCTTTTTCACACAATTCTTTCTCCCCACATCTGCCCTTGCTCAGCCCTGTGACAGCTGGCTGATGCACTCCCAACATACTGTACAGCACATTAGCAAAAAATTGCTCTCTAGAAAGGAGAAATTATTTTGTATATTTCCCATTTCCATCATTATAAAGATCTACTAATCATCTTAAAAGAAAATAAAAATTTCTACCCCATTCCCAGACTCCTTTTACTTTAATATGCTGGCAGTGAGGATATTAGGATGGGATACTGGGGATATTCTGCCTTCTCTTCCAGCAAAGGGAATTTTCACTGTTACAGCTGAGAAGAATTGGGTTTTCACCACCATTAAGCACTGCCCAGCTAATCCAACTCCATTATTTTCTTTATAGAATCAGATTGTACTAGTCTAGTCTTAACAAAAAGAAATCAAGATTAAATGCAATATATTCTGAAACAATGGAAATTCCTAGCAACAGTTGAAAGAGAAGTGGAATTCATAAATGCCTCTTTCATCTTTATCAAATTACTACTCAGCGCAGTTACTTTCATTAATAACAACATCCCTTAAACCACATTGTGAAAATCCATTAGCAATAAATGCTTTAAAACGTACATCAGGCTGTAACAGATGATTTATTGAAGGCTAAAACAATTAAATGGTATAAGCAGAGTGTGCATTTTTATGGACCGTTGAGCTTGCCAGAGTGCTGTTATGATATATTCAGAAATAGACTGTTGCATGGAGTAAGTAAACTTCTTTCTTGGATTTAGCCACCTATGCCAGCAAGGGGTAATGCAAGCTAGGAGCATCCTTGGGGTTTTGCTTCATCTCAAGTGCCTGCAGAACAACCCTACCTGCTGCCCATGGCCACTGCCGAGGTTGCTCCGCGGCGCTTGCTCCGAGCCCGGAGCACTGCTCTGAGTGAGCCTGGGAGTGCATCACCCTTGGGAACTCGTGCAGCCGTCCCCAGGAGGGCCAGGCTTCCCCAGCCGGGCCTGGGGCAATCGCACACTCTGCCACAGAAGGCTACGTGGCAGCCTTATTTCTTATTTCTTATTTCTTATTTCTTATTTCTTATTTCTTATTTCTTATTTCTTTAGAAATAAGAAATTTTCTTATTTCTTTAGAAATTTCTTATTTCTTTAGAAAGCATTAAGTGTTGGTCACTGCCACGTACTCACAGGGAGAGCACTGGACACCGGGGTCAATCCAGAGCTGGGATTTCTCCGTCGTGTTCCTGTAACCTGTGGCCAGCCTTGCCGACTGCCACCATACTGAAGGTCCGTGCACTCTCCAGCACGGCTGGATCCATCGCAGCCTCCAGCAGAGGATGGGGTTGAAGACAGATCAGCTGCTGCTGAAGAAGGTGACACACAAGTGAGGGCTGCAGTGAGGGGATGGGGTGACAGCCACAGTCACTCCTGCTGGCTCCAAATCAGCTCTTCGTTGATGGCACCTTTGTAGCTCTTGGCGTGTCCTTCTGAGCTCAAGCTGGGGCAAGAGGCATCCGCTTTGCTGCTCGGAGGGGAATGTTTGGCTTCTTGGCATGGCTTGTTTGCCTTGGCGTTTGCTGCTCGGGCTCTGTTATGAGAGTAAGCAATAAAAGCACATTAAATACTAGCAACTACATTAAAACAACACGGAGCCTGCAACGCAAACCAAGAAAAGCAAGGGGGTTGAGCGAGGGGACCGTCGGCTCCATCATCCCCTCACAGCGCGGGCCAGGAGCGGAGCTGCCCCCATCCAGCCGCCCCAGCAGCACCAGAGCCAGCCAGGCTGCCAACACCGACCGGGTGACACAGCCGTCCAACCTGGCCGGGCTTGACCTCAAGGTCCTAGCTCAGCTCCATGCACTGGGTGCTTTCAGTTCCTCCCCAGCTTGCCCAGAGCTTCTCGTGCAAAAGCAGGTCCCACAGCGCTGCAGCTCCTTGCAGACATCAAGAAACCCTCCTTGGCCTTGCTGCTGCGAGGTGGGACTGCCCTCTCCCACCCCTTGCAGTCTGCTCATGCTTTAGTGGCATCTACCAGAGCCCCCCAGACCCTGCGAGCTGTTGCTTGCAGCAACGTGGAATATTTCACCTCCCTCTTCTCTCTAGCAAACGGCTCCCAGGACAACTGCGACGCTGCTGTCGCCTCTCGCGCTGCTCAGGCCAGATGGGCCAGCCACACTTGCCCTGGTTTTGCCCAGTCGCTGCTTTCTTTTCACCACATGCTAAAGGAGAAGTTTCCCTACCCACAGGGAGGCACTGAGAGATGTCTCCCGCCCAGGCCAGCATTGCTGCTCCACCCCGGCTTTCGCAGCTTTATCAGATTTCTTGGTTTCTTCTTTGGCCTTGAAACAAGGCTCCTGGGCTCCTGCCATCATTCACTCGCCCATTTCTGAACCTCATTTTAGTCACCGCTGCATCACCGCAGTTCTTCAGTGCCATGAGACTCAGGCACACACTGGGCGAACATCAAGGTGGATCAGGATGGTGTCCAAGCATGACCACAACACGGGATCATCCCGGTGACGCAGCGAGGGTGCCGGGCGGCAGCCGCCGTCAGCACCTCCATCGTTCCTGCTACGAGACTTTGGGAAAGCGGTTTGAGCTACAGGACCTGGATCACTGGCTTGAACAATGTCAGCACGTCCCTCCGAGGGCATTTGCCCCCCCATGCCACGAAATGCCGAGTTATTATTTAACAGCAGACCTCACACAGAGGAATGCTTTTCTGCATTCATGACCTCTAACAAGTATAAGAATTGTTTACTATACTCTGAGCACTCCAGAGGAGCTATAATGTGATAATTATAGAGAAACCCTCCTAAAAATATATTTCTGATGCATCAGCAAAAACTCAGCAGGCCCCTCCAGCTGGCACCCAGCGCAGGAGCTAAGCCCAAGCTGAGGCTCGGATCATGCACTGCATTTTGTGCAGCTGTGCAAAGGCTCCAGCAAGGAGCTGTGCAGCAGCAGCCTGGCACTTACCAGAGCAGGGCAGGAGGAAGCAGAGAGGCAGACAGGGCAGGACACACGGGCTCTTCCCTCACTGCCTAATGACTCAGGAAAATATTAGGCACACGTTTGAGATGGACAGAAAAGGGTACTGGAAGTCCCTGTTGACATTTGCTAATCTGGCCACTGACTTACCAGTATCTGGTTTTAGGTCTTGCCTGAGCCCGGGCTGTGCCTGCTTCCCAGAACTGCCGACCCTCTGCGTTTTTCATGGAGAGAGGTGATTCATTATTATTATTTTATTTTATTCCAGCATGCTAGAATAGCAGCTGGAGGCTCCAGCAAGAATCAGCTCCTCCCTGCTCTCAGTTCTAGTAAACCCTGACTCCTGCTCTTCAAGGAAGCATTTACCAGGGCTTCAAACATGTCCTTGTCATAGCAGAGCCACCAAAAGTCCATCCCTCAGTCAGTGCCACTTGTGTGCTGAAGCTGCTCGAGCTCATCACAGTTGTGTTAGCTAATCAGCGTGCAATGGGCAATGCCAGAGGTGCAAGTGTCTGCTGTCCCTGAACAGCAATTTGAGGAGCCCCCCTAGGTCCTTCAGGTGGTCCCCAGCACCACTCTAACCACCCGCATGCCTCAGTTTCCCCACCTGCCAAGGGGTCAGAGCAATGATTCCTCCCCATGGGGCTGTGCTCAGCTTGGGAAAATAATTCCCACACCTTGAACGACGGCTTCTGTGGAAGCACAAACTGTCTTTTATCGCTTCGATTAAAAACGCGTGTGCTTTACACTCCCCAGGCTGTTTCTGCTTCCCCAGCCCAGAGATATGGCTGTAAAAAGAGCGCGGCTCTGGTGGCGGGCGGATCTTGGCAGCGCTGGAGGAGCGCGCGGGCTCTCCAGCCCTCCTGCTGCACACAGGGCTTCTGTGCGACCGCGCGCGCTCTGTTTGACTTGCCTGAACTTGAACCGTCACCGCTGATGGATGGGCTTCTAAAAATACCCCACGGCCATGGCTGGGAGTCCAGGAGCTCTTGTTGATTTAGGTGGAGACCTTCTCGCTGGGAAGAAGCTGAGGGACATCTGACACGCTGGCTCTTCCGCCGGCACCTGGAGGGACAGCAGAGGACCAAGGAGCTGTGGGGTGCAAGGTAGAAACTGCTGCAGCAAGAGCGAAAAAGCTAAGGACGCGGGAAGGTGCAAGCAGGAGCCGAGCAGTTCCTTGGGGGAGATGGATCCAGCCTAGGAAGCTGCGCTGGAGCACTAGGTGGGCTGAGGACATTATGGGGAAGAACCAGGCACCGCCATGGGCAGATCTTGGACCTGTTCAACCACTTATCCCCAGGCAGTAAAGCAAGGACAGACCAGGTCGACAATGGGGCCTCCTCTGGGTTCCCTGGAAGACCCTGGACATCCGTGGCCTCTCTGGATTCAGCCTTCCCCATAGGGATGAGGAGAAGCGACTGGGACTCTGCAGGCCAGGGCTCAGCGGTTGCTCCGCGCTGGCAGGAGCACGGGCCATCCTCACTGCAACAATCTTGCCTAATACATGATCTCATTTGCCTTTGTGTTTGCTTCTAAATAGGGGCTATAAAGCAGGCTCTCCGCTATCCCACTTCATTTTATTTTAGGGCTTGTTATGTGGAAAGAGGAGGGTAGTTAAACTGTCTTTTTAATTAAATTCCTTTAAATCTTTGAAAACAATAAAGAAAGAAAGATAGCAAACAAAGTAAGACAGAATAATTAACATTTGTATGAGCAGAGGTATTTTTTCCCGTAACACATTTATATATAAATCTCTTTTTCAAAAAAGTGCAGAATTTCTCAGTGGCTCAGTCTGTCTCCTGGGTAACTTTGCATCTCACAAGAGGAGCCTTGTGCCTCCCGCTCCTTAGTGGGACACGAGGCTTGGGAACTCTGCTGAAATCCTGCTCGAACTAAAAAATATTCCCCATTTCTGCAAACAATATTCCCTTTAGCATCTCCGCAACTTCCCCTTTTCTTCCTGGCCCTCAACCGGCGCATTTACCAGCCCAGCTTCCTCATCACTCGAGAGCACTTCCTCCACGTTGGCCGCGACAGCTCCTCATTTTCCCTCTTGGAAATGGCCACGGAGACCTGTTTCCTTGGTGGCGGTGGGAAAAGATGGTCCAGTAGAGAGGCCTTGGAAGGGCCATGCGGAGCCAGCCCTGACCGTGTTTCCCCACAGCTGCTCCTGCCCCTCGACATCTCCAGCATTTCTTGTGCATCCCCTAAAGGGAAAAGGTCTGTGCTCTCCGTGACAGGGTATGTGGAAACACGAGGTTTTCCACCCGTTTCCTGGGTGCTTCCCTCCACACAGAGCTGCTCCAAGTTAGGGCTGCTATCCGGTGCAGCAGCTGCAAGGTTGTGCTCCAGGACTTTCCCACCCTTCGCAACACGAGCGGGGCTCACATGCGCATCACCCCAAAGACACCCCAATGACAAAGCAGGATTAATGCAGGGAGCTGGACAAGGGCCATTCCACAAGCCCCTGCCCTGTCTCTGGCAGTCACAGACCCTCCATCCCAGGGGAAACAGTGCTGGATAAGCTCAGGAGCAGCGGGTTCCCGCTCGGCCCTGCGCTCCGCTTGCTGCCGCACGCCAGGCTCTCGCTCCTCCATCTCCGTCTTTGCTTTGATCCCTTTGCAGGGATTGCAGCTGGTAGTAAAATGCCTCCCAAATGTTTACGGCCCCAATTACACCTGTTCCTTGAAGGATTTCACAGGCAATAGAGCCGTGTTACTGGTTTCGCATTCACCTTTCCTGCCTGGGGTCCGGATTGCTCAACCATTCGAACCCAACAACCAGGGTATGATTTCCGAATGCTCCTTAACAAGAGTTTTAAACTCCAATCATCCCCAAATACAGGCATTCAAGGCAGGCGACATAAAGTCTTTTTAGCTGGCTGAACTTCCAAAAAGGGGGGGAAATGTTTCTGTTCCCATTGCCTCTGTAAAGGTATGGGATGAGTATGGCCAAGAGCACAAGTCAGTTGTGGTCAATGCTGCAGTACCTGGGATTAAATCAATTCCTCCCAAATTAAGGCATTGCCAGGTTTGCATGCACCCCCTCGAGCTCTTAAGGGGAAATTTCTGCTGCCAGAATGAGTTAATACTGATCCAGGCAAGACCATGCTTCCAGCACGCAAGATATTGGGCAGAAAATCAGGGGTAAATGTAAGCTTTCCTCGGCACCAGTTCAAGCTGCGTTTCCCAATAGGAAAACATGCATTTTCCACAGAAAAACAAAAGATGGGCACTGATGGGTGAAATTCCCCCATGGCACAGTGAGACTTGCCTATTGAAGAGGAGTTAAGGCAGGCACCGGCCGGGTCGGAAGCCAGATCTTAGCTGGGAGCAGGGGATCAAGCCGGGTCCTCTCACGGGAAGTTCCCACTGGAAAACCTTGGAAGCTGCAGTGAGAGGAGAGCCTCAGTTCGTAAATATTCCTGGGCAGAGTTCAACTTCACAGAATATCGCTGCTTAACCATTCCCAGGTCCGTTTCTCTTCTAACCTACTTCAGCTGGAGCAATAAAACAATAGCCAGGTATCGTCCAAAGTCATCCTGAAATGCCTTTGTGCAAAGGGAAATGCTTTCGTATCCTGCACATCTTCAGATTTTATAGGGGAATATTTTTCAGGTTTCCATTGTATAATTTTCAGATTTCCAATGTACAATGAATCTAATATTTTTCTTTAAAAAGACAACTCCCACCTTTGGTTGTCCATAAAATAAATGAGAATAATAAAGGATTATAAGTCAAACTGCATGGAAGGGCCCTGAAACTCTGACTTTCATCAGCACTTTCTACACCTCAGGGACTGCGATTTCACAGTTATATCTCCATCTGGTTAGAGGGAAAACACTGTTTATCTCTTCCATGATAAAGCAACGCTCAGAAAAATGTTCAGCGGTTACAGCTCTGTCCTAAAAGCCTAATTGCACAACGCAGTAAAAAGAGCTGCAATACTTGCAGTTGCAAAAAATGTACTTCAACGTCGGACAGCACTGCCAAAAGAACACGACGCCGGGCCTTGATCCTGCAGAGCTCCACGTCTACTCCTTCCTCTTCTTCACGCATCCTTCTTCTAAAATCCGTGAGCATCCATCACACGCAGGGGCTTCCGCAGCATCCGAGGGCTCCTTCCCCTGCTCCAGCAGCAGCTCCTGCAGAACCTGTTCCAAATAATACTGAACTACCGACACGTTTCTAAAATTAGACCAACAAATAAATTACCATGCAACAGGGCTGATAAAAGGGGACTGTTTACATATGATTTAATCCTAGAAGGAAGATTACAGACTACTTCAAATACCTGTGCCCAATATGTCACACAAAACCCTGCTTGGTTTCGACAAGGTTGCAAATGACTTTAATGACCTTGTTAAGCGCAGGCTGGGACTGGATTAGATCCTATTTGGCACCAGGTGTGTCGTTAATAACTGGGATGCAGGGGGACTGTGAAAACGGCTTAGCTTGAATGCCAAGGAGAAGAGCCAGGGGCTGTGCCAGCCCGGAGGGGCGCAGGAGCTGCAAGGTGAGGGCTGCCTCCAGCCCACTTGTCCCACTGGATCCAGGTGAAAAGCTGGCAGATGCTCCCGGGACATTTGTCCCTTGTTCCTGGGAATGCAGCAGTGCTGCATTTATCCCTGTGCCAGGGCTATGCATTTATCCCTATCCTATGCATTTATCCCGCAGCCAGCACCTGGGAAGCAGGTGGCAGAACGGGATGGGGAGCTCAGACCCCATGGAGAGATTCAGCCTCAGGCCACCACCACATCGGGGTCCCAAGAGGAGCGGCTACGCTGGCCAAGGCATCGCAGAGCCACCGTTAACACCAGGCTCGATCGCCTCCCGCTCCAGTCCTGAGCCCTGCTCCGCTCCATCCTCCTTCCTCCACGAGCACTTCCAGGCACTTCTCCCTCTTGCTCAGTATTTGGGTAATAATCACAGGATTTTTGCACACGCAGCAAGGAGCATTCCCTCAAGGGAGGGGGCATCGAGACGGAGCCTCCAAAGACCATCATAGATCCATAGAATGGTGAAGATTGGAAGGGACCTCTAGAGATGATCTAATCCGCACACACAGGGACACCCAGAGCACGGGGCACAGGGCGGCATCCAGGTGGGTTTGAAGACCTCCAGAGGAGGAGACCCCACAGCCTCCTGGGCAGCCTGTCCCAGGACTCTGTCACTCCCGCTTTTAAGAACTTTTCCTTCACTTCTCCTTGGCTGTCCTTGCCTCTCCTCGCAGCTCCGACACCGGGCTCTGCCGGGCCCGGAATTACAGGCCCAACGCCGGCAAATGACTGGTTTGCAGAGTCGAGGCCGCCATCCTGTCAGAGGCCTGGAAATGCATCTATCATAAATCAGCCTCTGTTGGATTTTATTTATAAAGACCTAATTAAATTTTGTTCTGTAATTTCAATATGCATGATACGCATGCATTACATAGCTTTTTTTCTTTTTCCCTCAGCCATAAATGCAAGCAATATACCTTGTAATTCTCTGCCTCTGTAATGTGCCTGGTTTCTGTACCACTGAAGAAACATCTCAGCCTTTTGTAGTCTGCTACAGCGCACTATAGAATTTTTATTGTATGTTACAGTTTGGCTTGGAGAGTGTCCAACAGAGGGATCTGCTTCTTTTTAAAAAATCAAGCAAAACACTGCATTTTTTGCAATGCGCAGAAAGCCATGCAGAAATCCAAGCACGGAAAATAAACACCACGTTGCCAACACTGAGCACGAAGCAGCCCTGAACCGGGCCGCAAAATCACAAGTTTGCCTTACAAACCATCAGATTGCCAAGACAAGTCATTTGGGGTTTCCTCTCTTGCCCTTCTTCCTTTGAAAGCTCCTCGGTTGGCCTCAAGCTGCAGGGCTTGCGAGTTCACCTTGGGCAGCACTGAGCGCTCACGGAAGGGCAGGATTTGAGGAACTGGAGCTTGGAAAAATGGCTGTAACCGAAGCCCCGGTGAAAGCACCGGCGTGCTCCCGAGCTCGGAGCGGCAACGGGCGCTCTGCATCCTGCCTGCCCATCCCGGGTTTTGCAGGAGAGGCCTCTGCTCCCGCCGTGCCGAGGGGCGGCTGCAGCCTCATAACCTCTGCTCCACACAGAGCCGCTAACTAAGGCCAGAGCAAATATAAACTGGGGATGGCGCAAGAGCCCGCGGAGGGGGTGACACCCGCACTGTTGTCCCAACAGGGCAGGGAGCAAATCCTGCAGCTGAGACCTCGGCTTGAGGCAGCACGGAGCTGCCTGCGTCGGGCGAGATGTTTAATGTCCCGTGCCACAAGTTGCTGCCCAGAATAAAACCACATGAGAACGGAGGCATTCTTTGCTCTGGAACAGAGCCACGTGATTTAGGAGCAGATGCTCCCGTGCTGTTTCCTAACTGTGGAGGAGCCAGCAGAGCAGCGGAGATGCAGCAAGACGGGCACTTTGCTCTGCACCTACTCCTTCTGCAACCCAGCTGACTCCTCTGGGAAGGGTTTCACAAATACAGGTTGAAAATCTGCTAGGCTCACCTGCACCGCTTCCTTTTGGCATTAGCTTTTCTTGCTAACCTCCTTATTTATTTAAAATGGGAAAAAAAAAAAAAAAAAAAAAAAAAAAAAGGAAGCATGAGGTAAAGAACAGCAAGCGTTTGTAGGAGAATGGCACTGTTTTCCACACGTGCTTTCCCTGTGAGTCAGGGTCCATCCCATGCACCGACACATCTGCAGACTTGCCCCAACCTGTGGGCAGGCTCAGGGTGAGCACAGCCCGGGCACATGAGAAACACCCGGAGAAATCAGCGGGAAAACTGCTCCCTCCTGGGAGCGAGCGCACGGGACACACTATCCCGGGAATCTTCTCCCTGTTTGTGCTGCTAGGTTGCCGCTGCCCTGTGCAAACGGCACATTTATGGGGGGGGAAAGCAGCTGGGAGCAGCCCCTCAGTGTTGGGACACACTGGAAGGACTCTGCAAGGAAACAAGTGCTGGTCATGCTGAGCCAGACTGGATTCTTTAGAAGCAGATTTGGATCCCCCTGCAGCTACTAGCTCCCCTGCTGCTCGGCAAGGTTTGCATTTGTTGGACCCACCGCAATTGCTCTTCAAAGCTTTCCTAAGGAGGACGGGCCTACGTGGGCAGATAACACCACAAAGTAACACGCTCGCCATTAAAACACCTCATCTGAGAGCCTCTAAAGTTAAGCCCATTCACAGCACCCAAAGTGCCAAAATGCTCCTGGAGAAAGGCGCAAAGAGCAAGTAAAGGTCTGAAGACTTCACTGGACCTGAAACAGGGAAGAGATGGTCTTAGTCCAGCAGATATTTATATCCGTCTTCAGAGGACAGCAAGGCTCAGTTGTCCTCATGGGTTTGTGTTCCTGGGGAGAGGTTTCCAGTTACACAAATTTATTGCAGTGTGACACTAAGAGATCTGGTTTCTCGAGGGAGATAATGAGGCCCAGGACGTTTTGGCAAGGAGCTGAAATGTCAGTGTGACAAGCTGATCGCTTACTACACCATAACTTAATACATCCTGTGCGTGTTTGGGAGGATGTTTTTGATGAATTGGCAACCTAAATTAGCAAGAAATTCTTAGCATGTGCCTGGTCTTCTCATACGTCAGGTATCAGGATTCACCTTGAGCAGGGAGATCATGCCGTTAGCATGACTTCATTTGCACTGCATTGTGATTTATGACTCCGAGGTGCTGGGAGGGATGAGCGGTGAGGTGGGAACGTCCACAGTTATGGCCACAGTTCTGCAGGGAAAGCAGATGCTGGGAGCCAAGGCTGCACTGTGACTGCTGTGAAGAGGCAGCCCCTTAAACAGGGCAGGGGACAGCGGGCACCACTGTCTGCCTCCTGCTCCCAGGGGAAAGGACAGACAACAAGAGCCTCTTCTCCAAAATGCACAGGACGGTCTGGGAGTGATGTGGAATATTCCCACATCCAGGCAACTGAGCTCTTCTTTCATAAATCCCTGCAGGAGAAGGAAGCAAGGTTGGTGACTTTGCTCTCAGCAAAGCCCCCACAGAGACAACTTGACATTAATGGTGGATCCCAGCAGGATGGAACAGAACGGTTGACATGAACCTATTGACAGTTTATAATTAAACCCACAAAGAAACAGGCTTAGGTTTAGGGCCACAGTTTTATCGGTTTGGCCATAGGTCACTGCTGTGAGCTCCTGTTTACAAGGCTGGCAAACACAACAACTAGAGAAGTGAAACTGTTTACTCAGAGTAAACTGCTGATGTTCACAGCTTTTGCTCCATGTGCTTCTCGGGTTGCTTTCCCGCCCTTCCAAATATAGTCCTCTGTGATAGCCAAGCTCCAGATGGGCTGTGCGCAGGAGTCCCTTCCCAAAGGGCAGAGCACAACGCAACTTGGCCTTTCCACAGAGAAAGAAATAATCGTCCTGGAGATGAGACGGGACAAATACAGAAAGAGGGAGATTCATTGCTGGAATCACCGTTTCGAAATCCGTGTGCTTCTCCATCCTGTGGGCCAGGAGCAGGGCGAGCATCTTTGGGCCTTCGTATGGTCTGTCCAGGGCTTCCCAACATGTGGAGGGTGAAGAAGGACGCGTGGAGGGAGGGCAGGGATGCAGCCACTTCTGTGCACGGTGATTCTTCCATGTGTGATTTGTTGGTGCAGAAGACCTCACTGAATGGATGGCCCAGCACCACGGCCACGGGAAAGTCTCTTTTCCTTTCTGCTTCCTCTACCTCACGCTACACGGAGCAATTCAGGTACTACAGAGAAAAATAATTTCCTCACAATAATTTCCAAGCATCAGAAGGGAAGCAGGGACCTGAGGACAGATCAGGAAGTGTCAGACCTGACTGACCTGCAGATTTAGGAGTGATTCGGCAGCACAGGCAGGGTGCCTTGCTCTCTGAAGCCAGTGGGCTGCCTCAGGCTGAATGTGTTTTAAGGAAAGGAGCTGAACAAGCAGAGATCCAGGTGGCAATAAAACGTGGGCTCCTCCCATAAAGCACCATCCTGGTCCAGTGAAGCCCATGGGAGTTCTGCCGTTGATCTCAGCGGGGCTGGGATTGCAGCCTGCTCCTCTATTTCTTTTGTTGACAACAACATAAGCAGCCTCACGAAGTCATAACACGGAACCATGGCCAAGGCACGGCTAGAGAGGAGATACTTTGCTGCAGGTGATCACCAAACTGTAAATAAATCTGCAAGTCCCTGGATTGGCCCTCAAGAACATCCTTCCCGGCCCGGGGATTCAGCAGGGAACACGTTGACTTTGACACCCTCCTGGGCAGGTTGACACAGAGGACCAGCCGATGCCAGGAACACGAGCAACCAGCTGCTCCATCTTAGAAGCTATTTGTGCTCTACGAGTGTGTATCAGCACAGCAGGAAGCCCTGCAGAATGGACAAGCCCCAGACGAGTCTCTTCTCCACAGTTATCCTGCAAAATTCCAGCTCGGAAGCAGAGCGGATTTCACAGCATGAAGGCAGCGGGGGCTCTCCCGGGCACCCCTCAGCGCGGTGCCCGCTGCGGGCGAACCTACCCCAAAAGACACACAGATGTTTAGATCTCCTAATCTGGGCTCCCCATCTCACTCAGGGCCATCTTTGGTTCCTCATTCGTCTTTTGATCTAATCCTTGTCCTGACTTGTGTTGGGGATATTGCCACTGGCAACAGGTAAAGGCAGGAATGCAGGAACAAAGGGATGCGGAGCACTGGGAGTCCAACTCGGCCATAAACCCAACCCCAGGAAAACTCAGGAGCCTGGAAATGCAGCTAGTTCTTCAAGCCACAGGAGCTGCTCACGTGGAAGGGATTACATCCACCTGTAGACAAGCTCGTACAGTCATTTTCAATATGGTGAATGCACAGTTGTTTTCTGTTTTTTTTTTCTATTTTCAGATGGACGAGTCCAATCTCAATTTGTTTCCATCTTCCAGTTTAACAAAAAGCTAAAATATTTTTAACTTTATTGCTGCTGATTTAAGTTAGCAAGTCCCATAGTAGCCAGTCTCTCACAGCCAACCTCAAAATACTCTATTGAATTACACCACTAATGCTCCAGCCATAGGAAAGGACAAGCTCCTCAGTGCCAGGCATGGGACACTGCAGGAATATCCCCCGGGAGCAGCAGCTGCGCACCCGAAACGCGGCTTCCCGTTCCCAGCAAAGTTAGGAGCGAAACTCCCACTAGCCGCCCCAGGAATGAGGCCCGCTGCGTGCGTCAAGCAGCAGCCTTCAAAGCCTCTCGAGGGTTTTTTAGATGCTCCCTAATTAATTCAGAAGCAAATATATTATTTCTCAGGAGGTGAAAAACAGGAATTATTTAAGAGCTGCCTTTAGGCAAACTAGCAGGGAATAAGAAAAAACGTAACTACTGGTTATGTCAGACTTCCTTCTCCGGATCAAAATTCATCGTGTCAGCTCCTCCGCTCCGCCGGGCTGCCCGCGTGCGCTGGGAAAGAAGGGGCTGATCTGGAGCTGCTGCTCCAGAGCCCCCGAGCCCCTATGCTTGTGCCCTGGCCCCGGAGAGGGGCCCACCCGGCCTGTGGGGCGGGAAGCAGGGCTGCTTTCCCCTTGCCCACACAGCAACGCACATGGCGTTCTGCAACACAACCCATCCTTTGGGTCCATTACGTGACACTCAAGTGGGGCAGCGCTGGAAATCCCCGTAATTCCTGCAACTAGTTTCTGTGAAGAGGAGAAATACGGGAATCCTTCTCCCTTACTTGCTCAGTGGGGAAGGCTGGGCTGGGGGCAGCCTCCCACGGCAGAGCGCGGCTGCGTTGAGGCCGCCCGCTTTTCCCAGCCTCTGGATTCACATCCCTGCTGTTCCGCACAGGCCTGGGGAAGGGCGGGATGCCGGGCTGTGAAAATCCAAGAGGCATCAAACACCCAAGTGCTGGTGGAAGCCAAAAAAACCAACCTGCGTTTTACCCCTTTAAGTGCCCCCACTGAGGTGGAGAGCCCTGGGATAACTCCCTCGTGCTAATACATCCATACCAGTAATTTTAAAAGTATTAAATGCTTCCTTAGTATTAGTTCTGTGTGTAAGAGGTTTGTGTGTCTTAATCCCACCTAAGCCTTTTAAGACACTGTTTTTTCAATCCAGGTTTTACAAGCGCGAGGGTGTGAAATCCCATCGGGCACCAGGGAGGAGGAGGGCACGGGGCCCATGCCACGCAGGCAACCAGCCCCCAAGCCCCATCTCGCCCAGTATATGTGCCTCAAACTTGGCATTTTTGCCTCAACTGCTGCAAAAGCTCCGAAAGGCTCCGTGTTTCTGATCTGCCTCCTCTGCTGCAGGATGTGGGAATCCTTCCTGCCCCTCTCGGCATTGGCACAAATCCCCCCACATGCCTCCTGGCTGCTGCGCCCTCACCCAGGCTCGCAGGGAACTTGTTGCCTCCCTATCCCATCTTGGGGGCAGGGGCTTCAATGGGAAGTTTGAAAACCTTCACATATCCCCATTTGGGCTCTGCCAGCTCGACTGGAAGCACTCAGCGAGCAGAGGGGGTTTTCAAGAGCGCTGGCTCCTCCACCTGCTCTTCTGGGATGCCCTCCAGGTACCTGCACAGCATGGAGCAGAGCCCATAGCTCGGGCTGCTCCTCAGACCAGCCCACGCACCGCGAGCCGGCCGTGCGCTCCGGAGCCATCCCTGCGCTCCGGAGCCATCCCTGTGCTCCCAGGCCGGCCGCGCGCTCCGTGTGGCTCTGCCGCCTTGACCCTGAGATATATTTTGCCCGAGGGCTCCCCAGGCTCGCGAGGCAGCAGCAGCGCCTCGCTGGCTGCAGAGGGGTTGCAAACCCCTGGTGCAGCTCGTGGGCGGGCTCCCCTCCCAGACCTGCAGGTCTTGTTTCCAGGCTCTTTGGCTGGGGCAGATTTGAATGGCAGTCACCAGAAAACAGGAGCTCAGCAGGGAGGATTTCCTTTCTCACCCTCTTCCCCTAGCCTTGACTTGGGTCTCGATGACTTCGCTTGTTCCTGCTTTATTTTTTTTTCTAAAATACAGTACTCACCTTTTATTCGGTGAGTGCACAGGAGACCAGATACCTGCACTGCCTCTTCAGAGCGTTCTAGAGTCGACTCCATTTGCAACCTGGGCCTTAGATGGCTCTAAGGAAAGTGATGGGCTGAGTCAGCGCCCACAGAGTCCACAGGAGATTCTGCGGCCTCCGGTGGGGCTGCGGTTTCACCTCTGCGTGTTGGGACCTACCAGCCAGGTTTCTCCTGATCACTGAGTGACCTTGGCCAGGGACAGTGGGAGGAGGGATCTGAATCCCAGCAGCCTGCAGCAATGTGCTGGCCCCTGGACAAGCACTGCAGGAGAAGCCAAACTCTTTGGGAAAAGCACAGCACACCTGGACATGCACGGGCACTTCACACACGTCCTCCCAGGTCGCCCATAACGTCACGGAGAGCAAGGGAATATCACTGTGAACACCAGCTTCCAAGAAGCACAGAAAAACACAGAATAACACAGAAAAAGGAATAGAGAAAAACTGCTCAGGAGACCCTGATTTAGTCCTTGCCATGGAAGCCTTGCAACAGTCTGCAGGAGATTCTGATGAGGCCATCGGCTCATGATTATTTTATAGCCTTCATAATGTTCACAGCAAACTAAAGCAAGCAAAGACTCATTTCGGTTACATTCAAGAAACTGTTTACGTTGGCAGAAAATATATATCTCTTCAAAGCCTGCTAATGCAGCATTACAAAAGACAGAGCAGCAAGTTACTCAAACTGGAGATCAAACCTGTTTACTGTGATGAAAGAAATGGTTAAGGGCAACAAAGGGAGCAGCAGCATCTGCTGGGGCGACGTGCTGAGTCCGGCTCTGCAAACGCTTCCTCTAGCGACAGGGCCTAAACTCGGAATAACTTAACCGAGAGCCCCACACACAGTTCCTGCTCGCTGGGGTTAAGCAGAAGAGCGATGAGGCCATTTATCAAGGTGCAGCCAGGCTAAACACAGCAGCATAAGCTTAAGTGACACGTAAATAAATGACATTTCCATTAGGTTTTTTGGTTGCGTGAGCCACATGTTGGCAGTCGTGCTCGCCAAGCAGAAATCGCCTGGTTTTCACAGGCTCTCCCGGGAGCGGCAGATAGCAGGGACACTTCAGGACAGTTTATTAGTGTTTTATCTCCCTCAGTCTCCCTTGGATGGCTTCTGGATGAGCCATGCCCTGACCAGAGACACTTGGGCTGCCTCCAGGCAGGCGGCTGCGCACGCTGCCGGGACGGCGCTGCTCCCAGCCGGCAGCCGCGGTGGCTCCGTCCCACATTCCTGACACCGGGACACGGCTCCCAGGCTGGGAGCAGACAGCCCCGCGCCACGGGAGGAGCCGGGCTGGACAGGAGCCAAGAGCTGGGCTGACTCCTGGGGGTCACTGGGCCGACCCTCTCGCCCCATTCCCGAGAGGCACGGGCGCAATGCTGGGTGCAGGAGCCACCCCAGGCCACGCGCTCTCCCCGGAGCAGCGCCCCAGGGCTCTGCACCCTAAGGATGATGCGGCTGTCACCCACAGCGGGAGCAGCAGTGGAACACGGCCCCGCTCCTGCAGCAGCTCCCTCCTGGCCGTGGGCTAACGCACCGAGTCCTGCCTCCCTCTGTAACGCAATCAAGTGGAGTTTTGCTTAAGTAAGGGCTGAGTCAGTCGTGAGTCAGGATTCATGGACTTGGCCCAAAACACACATACATTTAAAAATAATTGCCTTGAGTGCTTGGAAGAGTTTTCAGCAACACTGGGGAGATGTGAATAATTTTGGTCCAGTAGGAAGATCAAAGCGCGCTGCAAACATCCATGCTGCCCAGCCTCATGGGCACTGTCCAGCACCACCGCAGGAGCTGTTTGCTTCCCAGGGTGAGAACCTCAACCCATGGGTGTCAAGAGTGAAATCACAGCTCCCCTTTGATGTATTTGGATGGGTGGAGATTCCAGGTCATACGATGAAATGGGATTACTCACACCCTTTTGTTCCCAAGGATTAAAGCCTTTATCTTCATATTCTCAGCAGGAATATCATAACGTTTGGGGAAAGAAAGCCTAAGATCTATACCAGTTATACGCAACTGTTCTTTTGAATATATATGATATGTGGTTAGCCTTCAGGATAGAATACAGTGGCATAAGAGCAAACAAATGAATTACTCGAAGAGGATGGATATTGCTGTGAAGACCTGAGTAAGGTCTATCAGTGTGGGCCCAGGCTTTTTTTTCCCTCACTCCCACGGAGCACTCATCACTTGTAATCATATGGGAAAACTGCACCGGCAAAATAATGTATTGTTAATATTTCTATGTTGATTCTTCTCTACCTGTGATATCTTGCCCTGGCTTGAACAGCCCCGGGCATATCCATTACACTCCTCCAATGGAGGCAGTTCCTCACGGTTTGAAGGTAATGAGGGGATCCATCAAGGCTTTTGCCTGCGTGGTACCACACTCAGATCCTCAACGATGAGCATGACCCTAACACACAAAGTAGCTTTTGGAGCAGGAAGAAAACTCGGGTTAAGAGGTGCTCTGCGATAGCGATCTGTGTGCTTGCCCTCACCCCCTGGCAGCTACGCAGCGAGCCGGGGTAGTTTTCCCCTTCCCCAGGAGCAGGGACAGCTCTGTTGCATTTGCTGGGGCAGGAGCACGGAGAAGGCAACCGCGATGAAGAGCCCGACGTGCTGGAGCTTGTTGGGTTGCAGGAGCGCCAGGCCCATACGCCTGAGCCTGGCACGTCAGCAAGGCTCAGCACCGAGAGAATAAACCACGTTGGGCTTGCAAAGCTCCGAGCCTTGCAGTGGGTAGCAAAGCCAAGCCCTGTGCAGCGCCCAGGACGCGCAGCACAGTGTGGCACGATGGCCACCCGCTGCACAAGGACACCCCGTCAGCAGGGACATGAGCCCAGGACAACACGGTGCAGGGCTTGGGGCCACACAGCATGTCTGAGGCCATGGGAGCACTGCCTTTACTTCAGCAAGAGGATAAAGCAGTATTTTTGTGGGAGCCCATTAGAAAAACAGCAAGTTTGCCTCCAACCCAATCATTTATAGCTTGGGTCTTAAATTAACTATTTGCTTCAGTGATGTCCCTTAGTGATCTGTGTTAGCAAAAGAGGTGTGAAATGCAGCAGCTATTAGGACTAATATCATTTGCCTCCAGTGGGGACTGAGGAGTGACACTGCAGAGCCAGGGGCTGTGCAGGATGCAGAGCAAGGATGAGCAGGGAACAGCTCATCTCAAGTCACACGGTTTTAAAACAGGTCTCACAGTATCTACGAGCTTCTCAGTCATTTAGCAAGCCAGATCAGGCCTTAATCACAGCTTCTGAGGGACTTTACCAGATAGCAAATTCTCTTTTCACTCCTCCAGCCAAACCATTAGGAGAAACTCCTGCATTCGCTGCAAAGGACTCACGGCCACAAGGCAAAGCATAGGAAGGTACCGCAAGTACATCCTAAAGCAGAGACAGCAAATCTCAATTTTATTAAAGTCATTTATATGTAGAAGTTCATCTCATGGCTTGGCGATGCTAGTTGTTTGGACTCAGTTTGTGCTTTGTTTTTCTATGTTTGAGCATGTAGGAAACTCTGCTCAGAACAGAGAGAACAGCTGAAAGCAGAGGGCCGAGCAACACAGCAGTGTTTAACTCACTGCTCAGCCTTCTGCAGATGTATCTAAGAGGACCTTAGTAATGGCTTTCAAGCTCTGCTCCTTCACTGGACAACCACAAACCGCACTCATCTGCCACCAGAGCAGCCCACGGACTGTGGGCTCAGAAAACCACTCTCATGGAGATGCCACGAGAGGCTCCTTCCCATCCCAACCTCACCGGGCAGCTGGCACGACCCGGTTATGGCCGTGAGAGGGCCAAGGACAGGCAAAAGACCAAGCAGATGCTTAAGACGGAGCACTGGTGAAGCTGAGGGGAGGGGTTTCACAGTGCCGGGCTGAACGCGGCTGCTCGGCGCCTTTGCTGATTGCATCTGCCTCCTTCCTGGGATGGTTTCAACAACAAGCACGAGTATCAGCTGGGTGTTACATGGAAGGGAAAGGTGAAGAGCAGAGAAATCAAGGAGGGAAGCTGGTTGCTAGGGGAAAGCCGGGCACTGAAGAAAGACTTTCTGGCTCCTCCAGTAATTACAAAACCTGCCTGGCTCCCAGCAGGGAGAGCCCAAGCGAGCTGCCTGGCATCGTTGTGACTCCAGTGCTCATAAAGGTTGGCCTGGCCACAGGAAAAACCAGACGCAGCCAAACACTGGGCACTTGCTTGGCTCAAAGAGCTGCTTACTGCTTAAAAACTGCAAGCAATGGCAGCAGGAGCACATCAGGCCTTGAGTCTTCCCCAGCAGCGCGGACAGCCAGGGCCACATCTCCTCGGCTCCTCTCGAGCCATCGCCGTGCGCTGGCATCTGAACCCTGGTCCAGCTGGTCACGGCGAGGGTGACCCGGCTGCTACAGCTAAAGTGTCTCCGCAAGGGCTGGAAGGGCAGCGTGGGCCCTCCGCAGAACACGCTGGAACACGAAACGCAGCAAGAGGCGAGCGGCGGCAGGAGATCTCAGCTATGCGCACATGTGTAGGTACCTACGGATCTATATTCACATACACGTACACACATACACAAAATCTTCCACTCCCCCCGAGGGCATTTCATTGTTTTGTTAATTCCCATGCTCTGATCTGTTTTGCATTAAGTGGGATGTTAAGTGTCTAATTGTCAAACGCTGATAAGCCCTGGGAAATTTTACTACCAGATAGGCATCAGCTGAGCAGAGATAAAGCGCTCCAGATGCAAGGGAGGATCCGCAGGTGAGAGCAGTGGGTGCTGCTCCAAACGGCAGCACGGACGGCACGCCAGGGCCGCGGTGGCGGGAACGGGACGCGAGGCCAGCGCTTTCCACTCGTCCCACATTCCCAGCTTTGCTTGGCATGGGCAGTTGGCCTCTGGAGTGAGGTCAATGGCAGGGAAAAGCCTCGAGCTCCCTGCGTTTCGTGGAAAGGCGCTCACTCGTCCCGTGCCTACAAGTGCCACCTCAATAGCAGCAGGCAGCCCCAGGGCCATGTGCCGCTGCACAGACTGACATCGCCACCCAAGGCCGCAGCGTCCCCAGCTGCTGCGTGCCCTGTGTGGGCAGAGGTTTGGTCTGTGACACTAATGTGCTCTGAGCACCAAGGACCATCTGCTTTGCTCGGCACGTCTTCCGGGAGCACCCGTGCACGGGGCTGGCTCCTCCAG